AAAATGGTGCGCATAATGATGTCAACCTTAAAAAAATCAAATGTTAGATCAAACAATATTCAGAAACAGGTGCAAAAGGTGCAGCAGCTGTTATGTGCATCATTGAAACCATTCAGAAACCACTCAGAACACCCTAGAAAGGGCTTAGCAATGCCTTAAAACCCATTTAAGCCCACCGGCAACTATAGTTACCGCAGTTTATAGTTGCCATTTTCCTTTTGTAAGTATTTTTCTAGATGTTATCCATGTTTTATTTCTCAATGACATGCAAGAAAACAACCAATTGTGGGGGAATTTCCAGTTTTCAAGGGACAGCAGCAGTTTACAAACTTCAGTCAGTCACACAAAAGGAAGAATGGAAAGATAAACGCATGGGATTAATTGCTGTAGATTATCTTATTCTCCCTTTTATGACATTATGTCTTGTAAGGGGCAAAATATTGAGGCCCCTTTATCCCGTTTGGATGCATTTCCTTCTAATTGGTCAAGGACCCTAATTCTTTTTATGACTTATGATTCCATTATAATGTTGAAATTCAGACAAGTAATGAGTTTACATTTACATTATTATATGAAATCACCTACTACAGTCAGCCATTGAATACTATGGGCCTAAAAAAAAAGCATAATTTTCTTTCAGGTATACCTTTTTTATTATATAGATGTAATATTTTCTTCATTCTATTTATTTCTTTATTTTCATTTAACTAACACACCTCTAAGAATGAAAATACCTGCATGTTTAATAATAAGTAAATAAATAAACAAACAATCATGGGTGTAGCCTACACATGATAATTATTTAAATAAGCATATAGACTTGTACCTTCACTGCTTGCGTAAGGGAAAGTTCACCCAAAAATGGAAATTGTGTCTTCATTTAGTCATCCTCAAGTTGCAGACCTATGAGTTTCTTTCTTCTGTTGAGCACAAAAGAAGATATGTTGCAGAATGTTGGTAATCAAACAGTTAAATGCGTAATTTTCTTTTAGGTATACCTTTTTATTATATAGATTTTCTTCATTCTATTTATTTTAATTTAACTCTTTGATACACAATACCCTGTTGGGGCAACTTAATGGCTGCACTTTGTTCTGCACTATGTTCCACCGCTTTAAGACAAATGAATTTGTTGTGTTTTCATATTCAAGAGATTATAAGCTAGATGCAACTTTTTTGGGGTTTGCATCGAATGTTCTTGGACTTTAATGCATGATAAATTTGTTTATGAATAAAGACTGATCTGTTGAAAGCAGTTATTATGAGTTAGATGCCAAAAGCTCTCCTCCTATTCAAATTTGACATTGAAGGGGTGCATACAACATATTTGCCCACCGGCAGCTATAGTTGCCGCACATTCAAATACGATTTTCAAGAAAAAAAACAAAAACCTGGGGAAAATAAATGCATAACATGTTCACATAGGACATTATTAACATGACTATATGCATGAAACCATTCAGAAAAATTTGGGCACAAATGGGTTAAAACCATTCACAGTACTCTAGCATTGTGTTACATGGGCAAACTCTTCTTGAGCCGTGATTTTTCTCAGAAAAAGTCCAAATCTAGTTGTCCACAGTTGTTACCGAACACAGGCAGGAAAAGCAGATGTAAATAGACAGGTGGAGGCTCAGTTTCTCGCACACACTGCTTTTCATCAGCCAAAGCTTCCATGCCATGCATGTTATTATTGAAATCACTGAGAATGTAAATCAACTGGGTGTACATGTAAAACACAGTAAAAGATGTGAGTGCAGATGCAAAAACACTGGTAACAAAAGTATTTGCTTTAAAATATATGTAAGACAAAAATATAAAAACAAAACAGAATATATATATATATATATATATATATAAGACAAAACAGAAAAGCAACAGAAATCAAGGTAAATACCACTCATAAATAGTATTGTAAGATGTAATTTTGTCAGTGCTGATTTGTTTGTTATAATTTCGAGGCTGTTTAACCATTTGAGATGCAAGTAGAATATTTGGTGTAGAATTCAAATGGGTCGAAAGTAGTTTGTGGTCTCCAACACTACATTGAGGTATTGAGCCTGGCTGAATTGTGCATATGATCCACTCTGCTTTGCACTATCCAGGCATCATTAGCAGCTGAAAGCATATTTACTGTCTGAAATTGCTCCCATTTCCATGTATAATGCACTGTGTGCCAATTACTATACAGTCAGGAAGAGTGATTTATTGACACTTTAATTAAACATGGTCAAGACACACTGTAAAGAATTGCCAGGAATTTGCAGGATTAAAGAGTATTATTTTACAATAAATTTGCAACGTGGGAGGCGTGACAACGCAGTAGTGAATCCAAGTGCAGGCTTTATTCAAAAGAGTGGTCAAACAGGCAGGGCCCACAACAGCAAACAGGCACAATCCAGGACGAGACAAAAGAGTAATCCAATAAACAGGCGAAGGTCTGTGCAGGCAGCAAACAATCAGAAAACAAGGAAACAGTCCAGGGATCAGGATGATGGAGGTAACAAGACACAGGTGAATGCAATCAGTAATCAAGAGTCCAGGCAAAGGATTATGGGGAATGTAGTTAGTAAATGAGTGACAACAGTCTGGGGTGGAGTGCCCTCTGGAGGAGCTCATATTCCAGCTGGTGATTGTAACAAAATTACTGTAGTCAGAAATTTACTGTGAAATCGATGCATGTTGGTCATTTTCTTACAAATGACAGTCATTAACTGCTCTTGTTTTACTGTGAATTCACATTATAAAGTTGTCTTTAACTGTGCCACTGAGAGAAATTTAGTTGTTTACTGCTGTAATTGTTTTGAAGTCACCATAATGGTGATTAGTATTAGTTTGGGCTCTTTGGCCTTGAATATTCATATTCAAATTTCTGATCTAGTCACGTCAGAAGTGTGACAAATGAAAATATTTGTTAAAATGATGACAAGCCAGAATATGAAATAAGTGAATTGCCTGATTTTAAGATAGTCAAACTATCCTTAGCATGAACATGAAGATATTATTTTAGCAATATTTAAGCATGAAGATTAATAATAACTTATTTCATATTCATAACTGTTTGTGGATGAATCTTTCACAATAGTGAAGCGACTGCTGAGAAACGTCTTTGAAAGATGTGACATCAATCCTTGATATACACAACACAACAATGGTAACACTCAAGAAATAAAACCAACACTTACAACATAAACCAAGAACACAAACTGCTAAAAATGAACCAAAAACAAGTTCAGTAGCACAAATAAAACCAACAAGAATGAAAAAACTCTACAGCATGATCTATTCATGCTGCATTGAATGCTGGGAACCTTCAGAGTAAATATGCACTGTAGAAACACAGCATGATGCTGTTTGTTCACAAGAGAAGTCCCACTGAAAGTAATGCAATTATTAACTTGGAATCTACTGTAATTTCACACAAAACATTTTAACAGTGCATGTTTATTAAAATGCACAGATGATTTGTTCACAATAATAACAGTAGCATGTATTAAGAGAATAAACAGGCTCAGTTTTGATTTCATGCCGAGAAATAAAATCCATGCTGCATGTCTTGTTAGAAAGTGTTAGTGGACAGATGTGTTGAGTTTATTTTCTAAACCTCAACAACAACAGTGTTAAACATCAGTGTAAGTATAATTGGATTGGCGTGAAGCATATATAGATATAATGTAAACATTTCTGCTCATCTTTACAAGAGCCGTGTCTTATTTCGAAGGCTGCGCCCTCTGGAGGTCATTTTTAGGGCACATACGTCATTAAGGACGTCTTATTTAAGAAAAGCAACCATAATAATATTCCTCTTGAGTTGTAAATTACTGTAATTTCTTTCATATTTTGCGATGTAAAGGTTTCTTTTCTTAAATGAGACTCATCCTCTGTGCTGTGTGTGGCTGACAAATACAACCTCTGGAGGGCGCAGCATTCGAAATGAGACGCAGCTAACATGAGGCATGAGTTCATTTTCTTCTTTCATTGGGTTTCTGTTGGTTGTTGGATTGCAGTGTCATTCGTTTGGTAGTAGATAGTGTTTATAGCAAGTGAAGTGTGAAATTTGCTTTTCATTGGTTGGTGTTTAGTACATTAACCCACATCTCTGTGTTTGTGTGTGTCTACTTAACCATATTTTGAAGACAAATGTGTACCCAGACCTGCAAAAAAAAGAAGAGAAAAACTCCTTTTGGGTACGGCCTCATTTGTAAAAACAGTATAAAAATAAAGTGCTCCCCTGCTACTGGACGCAATGCAATGGAAAGCCAGTACATACTTTGTAATGCATTTTGATGTAGTGTTGACTGTTGTCCAAATCTCTCCCACACAGCAGGCTTATTTTGAGATGTATACGAAGCTGCCTGGGTATTATGTCAAAAAGTACGGGATTATTGAATTTTATAAATGCTGCAATGATGACCCTCCACCCAGAATAATGTCTGTATGAATCTCTCTGGCTTTTGCTTTAATGGTGGATGTAGATGAGCAGAGATCTGATAAACAGGTTCACCGGTTGCGTGAAATCGTCATCTGGTGTGAGTTTAGTGGCGCATCTTGCACCTCTTCATCTGCCCACTCAGTCTCTGCACAGACGAGCATCTCTGGTGCTCTTGAATGCTGGAGTCTAGGCCACTGATGCGTGTGTAGTTAATATTCCTCTGAGGTTCGTCAGAGTGCAGGAAGCCCCCGAGGTACTGGAGTATTCACCAGCGCTGCTATTTTTACCAGGGTTTATATCGAGATGAAGACACTTCTCTTCAAACCATGTCTGTTCTTAAGGCCTGTTTACAGCAAGAAATGTCACAAATGCAATATTTTGATTTGCATCAGCGGTTGTTAACGCATCTGACATCAGCATGGCATCGCTGCAATCTCTTTTCCATTGCACTGCGAAGAAAATTGAATGCACACAAAAGTCTGTTCGTAAATTGAAATGAAGCCCCGTGAAGTCTCAGATTTTGTTCAACAATGGAATAAAACGTTTCTATTGTCTGTTTGTCTGTCAGACGGCAGCAGAATATGCCAAGTCGCATCTTCCCGTCATGTTGCGGCAGCAGCTTCAGCGTTATGAGAAGCAGAAGGAGAACAGCGCTGTGACCCGCCAGTCCATCCTCAGACAGCAGATACTCAACATGGACAAAGAGATTCTGGAGAAACTGTCGGCCTCCTATGATGAAGCAGGTGAGAGCTCACAGCAGTGAACCTGTAGTCTGATATTTATTTAGTCTGCAATCATTAGACCTTGGAGCTGAGCACTCAATGGAATAGTTCACCCAGAAATGAAGTGTGCTCACCCTCGGTTCATCCGAGATCAGGATGAGTTTGTTTCTTCATCAGGTTTGGAGAAATGTAGCACTGCATCAGTGTCTCAGCAATGGATGCTCTGCAGTGAATGGGTGCCGTCAGAATGAGAGTCCAAACAGCTGATAAAAACATCACAATAATCCACAAGTAATCCACAGCACTCCAGCCCATCAGTTAACATCTGGAGAAGACAAAAGCTGAAACTAATCCAGCTTTAAGATGGACTCTCATTCTGACGGCACCCATTCACTGCAGAGCATCCATTGCTGAGACACTGATGTGCATACTGTGAACAGTACTGCTTCATACAGAACTGTGTAGCGTTAGTACTTGGCAGTGTTCAGATTAAACTGCATAGTACCCAATAATCACAATCAGCTGTGACTGGTCCATGAAGCCGTCTGGGCACTACCTCAGTGGGACATTTTCTTCAGAAATGTATTACATTGCTGCCACAGAGCTGTTAGTGATGATGGGTTTATCAGTTAAGGGTTGTTCTCTTTCATGAGGTATTTCGCTCTTTTGTTTTGAAAGGATAAGGTCAGCTCCTGTGCGGTTTGTGTCTCTGTCAGGTACCACGTGTCTGGTGGCTCTGCTGTCTGAGAAGGAGCTGACTGTGGCGAATGTTGGCGATTCGAGGGCGGTTCTGTGTGATAAAGACGGTAATGCTGTCCCGCTGTCACATGACCACAAACCCTACCAGCTCAAAGAGCGGAAGAGAATCAAGAAAGCAGGTGAGCAGCTCATCTAATAATGTGGCCTCACGGTTGTTCTTATTTTATTGCTGACTGTTCATTTGTCTTCAAAAATGTTTGAAATCTACATTAGTTTGGCTAGTAGTTTTTGCTGCGGTATTAAAATTGGAACTGAAATTTCACTGGTTTATTAGAATAATGTTACATGGGTCAAAACATGAAAACAATAACTATTTATTAATATTATTATTATTTGTGTATTTATGTGTGTGTGTGTGTGTGTGTGTGTGTGTGTGGACTCAGATTTCAGCCAGAAATGACAGTTTAAACGCTGCTTGATCTGTGCAGATTTCTCTCCTGATTCACACCAGAACACTTTTTCACTGGAGGAAGCGTTATTATGGATTATTGGATTTGTTTCATACAAACACGCAGCTTTTGGCTTCTCAAGATGTTCATTGATGCATTGATGCTTCACTGCAGAGGATCCATTGGTGAAAAAGTGATGGAATGCTACATTTCAACAAACTTTGCACGATGCACTGATTTCTGAATCTGAACACGAATGAGATCTGAGAGCTTTGGCGGAGGGAAACCTTTTCAGTGAATAAGGACTGGGTCTGTTTTTTTTTTCGCACTCAAAGCATCACGTTAACAGGGTGTCATCAGTCATTTCTTCATTTGAAACTTATTTCATGTCACAGAAATGGTCATATTTACAGGCAGTGAAGTGTGCCTGTGCTAGTTCAGTTCTGAAGACGTTTTCTGTTTATACAGAGACATTTATAACAAGCAGAGGTTATATCTCAGTTGTGTAAGTGATGATCGTTTCAGAAACACACTGTAGAAAAAACAACTTTACTGAAACATCTTTATATATATTTCAGGTATATCTGACTTAGACTTGATTCAGTATCATCATTGGAAGATTTAAATTCAAGTATGTTGCCTTATTTTAATTAACATGCTCTTATGATGAATTTATTTGCGTTGTCCAGAATTTGTTTACAGTGTCCGTGTCATATGCACATCAAAAGTCAATGTATTATTTTACATATCGATGTCTCTCTGAGATGAAGAATAACAAAATGAATGTTTATATTAAATATTAACACAAGATGAATACTGTAAATGATGCATCTTACTCTTCTTTAGTTCATGACTGAAAAAAAGACTTTTTTGAGCAATCCATTAAAATGCTGTTTGTGCTGAAGAATGGTTGAGTACAGTTTTTATTTGTTTTGTTGCATTAATGAATGCAGTGTGTTATGTATTCTATGTATTTTTATATCCATATGTTGAGGTTTACTTACTATGCTCTATGGTCTCCATCCGCTCTTACAAGAAACACAGTATTTATCATTTTATTTGGGAAGTTATCAAACGACGTTTTTTTATTGAAAATTGAAAATTTAGTTTAATATAGGCTGTACAGACAAATATAACTATGTATTTACATATTACAAAAATAATTTTAATGCTTTAACAGCACACTTGAATCTTCACAGTTTAATCACCTTTTTAATCAGCGATGTAATTTCCTCATTATCTTCAGCTGGGATGTTCCCGTGACAACGCAGCACAGTGTCCGTCATATATATATATA